CATGCAGGGCTGAGCTGGCGGGCACGAGGCTCTGAGCAGTGCTGAGCAGCCACAGCCAACACCTGGGCAGCTGGCAGTGCCACACACCCTTTAACCATCCCTCCCTCCTTCTCCTGCCCCCTGCTCCCCTCCCCTCCCTTCTCCTCCCATCTGTTGGACGGGGCAAGACTTGGACTTGAAGAGCTGTGTGAGGCTTCAGTGCCAAGTCCTCAAGATCCATAACGCCTCTGTATTGAGAAACAATGCTCTGGAGAAGATCCCGCCGCCTCCCCTAACATGTCCCAAAGAGATTCTCTGGGTCTCTCTTTTCTGCCCCTCTGGGCTCAATAAATTTTTTTTGCATCCTCTCTCCCTGTCTGAATTTCATTGCCCTGCAACTGTGACAGACAGATGCTGGTCTCTCCTGTAACCATTTTACCAGTGATTATCATGCGCCATTCCTAGGAGCAAATTGTGGCTCCTCACTTCTTCTGCAGCTCCAAACAAGTGATTCTAAGCTCAGGGAAAATCTTCTTTTCCTTAATTTGGGAGAGGAATGATTCAGTTACCGAAGTCTAGCAAAGAATTGGGAGCAGGTGGTTAAGACTATCGATGCCTCTTCACAAAACCTGCGTGTACTTCTATATAAATAGGCATACAGATATATATTTGGGGCTATTAATATTTATGTATTACCAGGTGGTGTCTTAATTCTTGCTGATGTTCTTCCCGAAAGCATGATGCTCTCTCCTCTCATTCACCAACAGCTTTGTACTTCGGGAAAACTATCACATTCATAGAAAATTTAACTCCCTTAGGTTCAAAAGCAAACAGAGGTCATTTTTTAATTTATTTTATTTTTTTTCTTAGTTTTACTCAAGATGACCCATCCCACAACATTATTTTACCCCTTATTAAGTTACTTATGAGATTATTTCATTTAAGATTGGTGCCATTCAAATTTTTTTGGATTCACCTTGTCTTTTGGAGAAGTACCGACAGGCTGCCAGTAAAAGGGAAAGTGGGTGTATTTTTCCCTTTGTTTTTACAGGATCTTATATTATCACTACTCTGGTATTCTGTATTTACTATGGATTCACTCAAGAGCATGTTATCCCCCTATACCTTACCATCACCTATTTGCGGCTACTCAGAAGACTTTTTTCTCCACTTCTTTCTGATTACAGCCTGTGTTACACCCCATCTTTTCTCCGTAGTCGGCAGGTGCATGGCTTTGCACTGATTTACCGGAGATCGTGCCGTTAATGTTACTCCCATCAGTTAAGCCATCTCGTTTTTCCAGTCTTAAAGTCTGATTCCCTGCTGTTTAATGCTACTCAGCTTTCTGTGTGGCACGTAAAACAGTGCTCCCGACTTATGTCCCAATGCCATTGGTGCAAAGAAATAATTAGAGGTTTTCTGAGGCTGAGCCTTAAGTAATGAGTGTAGTAAACTGCCTTTACTCCTATAACTCCCCTATAACATTAGACACTGACAGCAAGCGTATCTCCATTTTGTAATCAGACATGAGCTCACCCCAAACAGGCATCCAGCCCAAGCAGAGGCTGTGTAATCGTGTTAGCTGGGTGCTAACAACTCTCACCAATCTTGTTATCTTGGGCTAGGCACTTGCTGTCTGACACAATACACGTCTAGTTGGGCGCTGGCTGGTACCTGCCTGACGCTGCCTTCCTTGTTGAGAGAACCTGTAGCAAAGTTGGCAATCAGAGCTCAGGTGTTCGGCTGTGGTCGTGTACGATTTACACTGAAGTACCTCTTGGAGGCTGTGCGTGAGAACGAGTATCGTGTTGCTGAGCAGAAGAGAAATGGAGAGGAAACCAGACATCCCTGTCCTGTAAAGGTGCCCCAGGAACTGCCCTGGCTGAAGTAGCTGGGAGGAAAGAGGGTTTTTCTCAGCATGAGAGGCACCCGAGCCAAGGAGATGCAGGGCTGATGCAGCACAAGCCAGGAGGTTGATTGCCGGGCTCCTGGGAATTCGTGGCAGCAGCATCCTTGCATCAAACCGTGTGAGGATGGAAGGTGGAAGCAGGGAGAGAGAGCTGTTCCCTTGTGTCCGGAAGACAGGAACCTTTCTTCTCCATCTCAGCTGCCCAGGCTCTTCACATATCCCAGGTGCTTGTGGGAAAAGGGTTGGGCTCTCAGCTGGGCCCCGCAAGATCCAGTTCCTTCTCAGATCCCCCTAGATCTTTCCCAAAAAAACCTCACGGTCATGAGGGCAGGCAGTGTTGGGACAGGAAGGGTGAAGCAGAGAGAGAGAGAGAGAGGAGAACCTTCCAGTGAAGGGCTTTATTGGTCAAAATATTCTCAATGAGCATTTGCTAATCATTAAAAATAAAATGGCATTTTCTTGAAATAAAAGCAAGATTTGTGAGTGCCACAGACTAATTTTCGTTTCAACTTGTTACTACTTACAGCACACACAACCACCTGACATATCCAGTTAGATTTGGGCAGGGAATATTGAAATTACCTGTTAAAATCAGACTTGCTAATCCATTACACTGACAAAGGGTTGAGATAAAATAAAAAAGAAAAAAATCCAACTTCCATTCACAGAGCTTTTCTTTGAAAGAGCCTCAGTGAAGTAACAGGTAAATCCTCCGTAACGCATTAGTTCATGTTCTTTTTACTTCACCGAGCTGACTTAGAGACTCAGCCAAAATTTCCCTGAGGCAACTGTTATCACAGCTGTGATTAAGAAAAAAAAAAAAGAAGAGGCAGTGCTAGATGTTTACTCATCAGATACCTATCTTAAAAATTGTTTCCCATTGTTTACCTTCCTCCTTTTGTTCCTTTTCAGAATACGCTTTGACAGAACTTCAGGCCATGTTTTTTTGGGGTTTTGTTTTTTTTTTTTTTTACTTTGTTTTTCAAAACAGTTTGATGATTTCTGGTCCATTGTCTGGGAAGATGTACAATTAAAAGGAATTCAGCACTGAATTAAGGAGTCAACAAAAATTGGACGAACTGCTGGAAGTCTGACAACTGGAATAATTAGTATAGAGATGATAATTTCAGCTCAGTAGCAGTGAAAGATTGGGCAGATACGTTTCTTAGCAGCAGGACCGTGCGTGGCCCGAGGTGCCAGGGCTGTGGGCTCTCCACAAAGGCAGCTCAGCCTGACTCTGCTGGTGCCAAGGGACTGCCCTGGCGTGGTTCACAGGGGCCACGTGCAGGGCGAGGGAGCCCTGCAGCCCACCCAGCTCCTGGAAAGGAAACACAGAGAGGCAGGCTTTAGATGCAGGGTTGTTTTATTGAAAGGGCTGGAAAGAACAACTGGAGAAAGACACATGAGGAAGAGGCAGGCAGGTTGTCCCTGCGGGCTTCGAGAGAGCTGCTCCTTCAGGCTACTGCCAGGCGGTGGCAGTTGCAGGGAGAAGCAAATGTTCTCTGGGATGTTGGTGGGGTCACACGGTTGTCCACTGGCGGGGGCAAGGAAGAGGAGATGAAACAAATGAAGGAAATGAGAAGTGTAATTTATGGAGCTGTTCTGAGTTCTCTGGTTAAGAGGAAGTCTTTGATGTTCTGCCCCTTACTCAGGAGCTCAGTTGAGGATCGAGGTTGTATCACGCATTTGCCAATCATTCTTTAGTCGAGGGGATATTTCTGTGGGATTTAGCAGGGCCCGCAGATGCCACGGTTGTACCTGCCGTACCGGTAGGAGTAAGGGCTGCAGTAGCCATAGCCATAGGGTCTGCCGTAGCCATACAGGCCCCGGTAACCCAGGGAGGAGCCCCCACAGCCATACAGGCCCCCATAGCCCAGGGACCCATAGCCCCCATAGCCATACAGACCCCCGTAGCCCAGGGACCCATAGCCCCCATAGCCATACAGACCCCCGTAGCCCAGGGACCCATAGCCCCCATAGCCATAC